CAAAGCACATAACATGGCGTAGCGATATACGACGGTCGTAGTCCCCGACCCCCGACCTGACAGATCAGGATACGCCAAAGCTTGTGCGTTACTTACGTCTTACGTCCACGACTACGACTGTCATATGTGCTTTGGCCCTACGACAAAATAATGGTAAGACAAAATACTAGAGCACTATGCACAGCTACATTCACTGTATCAATTTATTCGTGAATTTTATCGCTGATTGATTTCCAGATATTTAAACTTAAATAACCAAATAATGACATTCATGTCTACCAATAATATTATTAATACTATTAATTCCTATTTATATATTATAGCCTTCCATTTCTGGGAAATCCATGATAGCAACGATCGGTGTAAGTGCCCCAAAAAATGGATATCTCACTTTTGTTAAAATCACAAATTTAAGAGATCAACAGACAAAAGTTGTACCAAAGAAACTTAGTCAAACAAAAGTAGTAATGTTCGTAATAGGAAAGCGCGGGGAAGGAATGCATGTACGCGTGGAAGGTTATGCAAAAAGCATTTTAACAACACCTGCTCCAAGCACGACTACTACTGAACCTAATGATGAAGACAACAGCAAATCTAGTAGCGAAGAAAGTAAAAGCACATCTGAAAGTAGCAAAGAAAGTAAAAGCACATCTGAAAATAGCGAAGAAAGTAAAAGTACATCTAAAAGTAGCGAAGAAAACAATGGCGAGGGAAACAACGCATTAAACAACGGAAATGGAAATAATTCAGCAGAAGGTGGCGATGGAGGAAATAGCGCACCCAATGGTGGGGATAGAAACAACAATTCAGCCGAAGGTGGCGATGGAGGAAATAGCGCACCCGATGCTGGGGATGGAAACAACAACTCAGCCGAAGGTAGCGATGGAGGAAACAGCGCACCCAATGCTGGGGATGAAAACAACAATTCAGCCAAAGGTGACGATGGAGGAAATAGCGCACCCAATGCTGGGGATGGAAACAACAATTCAGCCGAAGGTGGCGATGGAGGAAATAGCGCACCCAATGCTGGGGATGGAAACAACAATTCAGCCGAAGGTGATGATGGAGGAAATAGCGCACCCAATGCTGGGGATGGAAACAACAATTCAGCCGAAGGTAGCGATGGAGGAAATAGCGCACCCAATGCTGGGGATGGAAACAACAATTCAGCCGAAGGTGACGATGGAGGAAATAGCGCACCCAATGCTGGGGATGGAAACAACAATTCAGCCGAAGGTGGCAATGGAGGAAATAGCGCACCCAATGCTGGGGATGGAAACAACAATTCAGCCGAAGGTGGCGGTGGAGGAAACAGCGC